GCAACGGGAGGGCTGTGCTAGGGATAATGGTGGAGCCTTAGGAGGCTTTCTGCCGGGGTCGGTTCTGTGAGCTGATGGGTCTGATAGTGACCGAACTGGTGATTTTCCTCGCGTGTACACGTGTGTGGGAGTGTATTTCCTGGAACATTTTTGTTGGCTAATACCTTTCAAAGAAGGTGTGCGTCGCTCCCAATATCGTCCTTTAACGTGTCTCAAAATAAGCATAACATCGAGGGCTTTAAACAGCAAAAATGGAAGGAGGGTGGAATGGTGGAGGAAGCTTTGCTTTCTTTGGGTAAAGATTTTAATTAAGTGTTCAGACACAACACTTGCAATGTGGAATAACTTAAACCGTTGCTTAAGATTTGGGGGGAGTTCTTTTGTCTTGAGAAAATACATAATCTTCACCAGATGTCCAGATTTCCCGAAGAACAACTTCATTAAAATCTTACTTATATAAGAAAGAATGCATGGAAATACAGGCCTATCCCCCACATGACCAAGTGTATTTATCTTGCACAGGTTGCTTTGTTTGGTTTTTATGAAGCTTTCTCTTACAAGTAAATGCAGAACATTCAAACATGTTTAAAATTTCCTTTTTCACCTTTAACCAAAACAGGAGTTAAGAAATGGAGATGATGACTGAGAAACAGAGAGACAGTAGGTATTTCTGGAACAAGACTCCTGAAAAAAGCGATTATGAGGCTGTAGAAGCGCTTATTTCTATGAGCTGCAATTGGAAATCAGACTTCAAAAAACATGCAGAAATGAGACCTATAACTCCAGCATCTGATATGTCAGAAGAGAGCGATGAGACCTTGCTTCCTGGAGCAGCGGACTTCAATGCGATACCAGCTTTTGTAAGTTTCTGGATTTGTACATATGTGTGCTTGTTTTTAACAACCAGTGTGGTGATAAGTTGGTAATGTGCCCCCCTTTACTGTGTCTCTCTCCCACACACAGTGCCTGACCCCCCCTTACAGCCCTTCTGACTTGGAGATGTCACAGGTGGTCAGCAAGTCGCTGGCCGAGGGTGCCAAATCTCCTCTGCCTGCTGTGCCTCGGAGAGAGGCAGAGAGGCCTCCAGCAGCTGGGCCCCTGAAAGCTCAGGTGACAAGCGTTATTCGCCACACAGCCGATGCCCAGCTTTGTAATCGCCAAACCTGCCCGGTGAGAACAGCCAGTGTGCTGAAATACCCGGATGGTGCTTCGAGGGAAGCCAGCAGTAAGCAAAACCTGGAAGCAGAGCATGCAGAGTGTTCCGCCGTGGTGCTGAGCAGAGCCAGTGATGAGAGCGGAGAGCTGCCGGTGGTGGAAGGGAGAACTGCAGAAACAGCCGTCGCTCCGGTGCCCCTCACAAAGCCCTTGGTCAGCAGCAGGCATCAGGCTGTGCCAGTGATCCCGTCGTGTCCTGCCCAAGGCAGTGGAGCCCCTCCTGTGCCCGTGATTTGCCAGATGGTCCCTCTGCCCGCGAGCAACAACGTTGTGACAGCTGTGGTGCCCAGCGCTGTGCCAAGCCAGCAGCCGGCTCTGTGTCAGCCCATGGTCTTCATGGGCACCCAAGTTCCCAAGGGTGCTGTAATGTTTGTTGTGCCCCAGCCAGTTGTGCAGAGCCCCAAGGCTCCCATTATTAGTCCAAACGGCACAAGACTCTCTCCCATTGCCCCTGCTCCCGGCTTTGTACCTTCTGCAGCAAAAACCACTCCTCCGGCTGATTCTTCGAGAATAAGAAGTCACATTTGCAGCTACCCAGGATGTGGGAAAACATACTTCAAGAGCTCCCATTTGAAGGCCCATGTCAGAACACACACAGGTTAGTTGCTGTTGCTGGATGGTAAAAACTAATGTAGAAAATTGTGGTTTCATTCACAGGGTGGTAAGGTTCTAGCGATTACCGGATTTGTTCATGGAACAAATTGTGGGGCAGCAATGAAATCCTTTTTACTGCCAGTGTGCATTGTAATGCTGCCTAATCTCAGACAGGAAATCTCCTGCAGGGGAAGTTGACTCAGCAGTTTGCCTGGGCTCGACTTGCTTCATGTCAGAAGACGCCCTGTAATGCTCCTGATGAGTGTGGAAACAAGGCTTTGCCCTGTGCAGAGTCTGCTTTTCCAGAGTTAAAAGATACCTTACTAGGCTTTTCCTCAAGGATGCTTTATGTCAGAAGTGGGTAACACTTAAAAGAGATTATTTTATGGAGAATATAAGGCTCTACTCCATACTGTTCCTGCCTTGGTGATTTTAGAGTAATTTCTCCATGCCTCAGCTCTTAATTCCAGCAGTAGCAAGAGTCACATGTACTTTAACATGGCCTCGCAGTGCACGACCAGGGCTCTGTGCAAAGCATTGTTACTGATTGTGTTTCAGAGGGCAGTTGTAGGCATGCTAAGTTGTCACAATCTGCAGTTCACGTGGGGCTGAATTAGAATCAGCTGTCTGGAGATGTAAAGAGCACCTCAAACTGGTTCCAGAGAGTAGTTAACCCTTTGTACTGCTTAATCTTAAGGATGGCGAGTCTGTGTGTTTAAATATTGGTATATAAACAATTTTCCACATTTCATATATCTAATTAAGTAGATTTTTCTTCAACTGTAATTATAGAAGCTTTTCTTTAAAAAAAGGCGAATTCTGCCAAATTCAGGACAGTGGTGTTTGCTGCTCATGTACTACTCATAGGGGTTTTTCCTCTTTTTTTTATCTTTTAGGAGAAAAGCCTTTCAGCTGCAGCTGGAAGGGCTGTGAGAGGAGGTTTGCACGATCTGATGAACTGTCTCGCCATCGCAGAACGCATACTGGGGAGAAGAAGTTTGCCTGCCCCATGTGTGAGCGGCGGTTCATGAGGAGCGACCATTTAACGAAGCATGCCCGTCGCCACTTGTCGGCCAAGAAGTTGCCCAACTGGCAGATGGAAGTGAGCAAGCTGAACGACGTCGCTGTGCCGACCGCAGCAGCCACCGCGCACTAGAGAGGGCTTGTGCTGAAGGCGGTGGAATTAACTGTTGTCACTGGGATGTGCCACCTGGAAAAAGGCTTTTCCTCCCAGTCTGTGGTTCTCCCGCACTGGCTGCTGATGGCAGAGCAGCAGGGAGGCAGTGGTAGTCTGTGCTGTCACAAAAACGTTGTTGGGAGAACTGGTGGCTGACTGGAACAGCGGGTGTCTTGCACTGGTAAGGAGAGAGAGAAAGGGAAGGTTCTGGAGCAGAGCATGTACTAGTTCTAAATCTTGCAAATTGCTGATAGATACTCGAGGTCAGTCACATGTAAGTGTTGCTGAAGGTTTGCTGCTGGCGCTCAACCAACTCTGGTTTTAACTTCTTGTTGTCAGTCTTCAGTGCAGCATGGACTAGGAAGACAGCAGCGTACAGGCGCAGGTGTGAAAGCCCAGATTGCACCCATGTAAGATAATCTAAATCAGTTTTCCTACTTCTGCCACCTTTTCTTGGTAGGAATCTTTTTCTCCTACCCATTTTCTGGCCCCATTGTAAGTGGTGCTTTGGTGCCAAACTCCTGGAGATTTGAGACCGATGCTCCAGCACAGGATGTTGGACACAGCCTGGTCTGGAATGGCTTGGGATGGGCACCCAGGGGCACTGCCTGGGCGATTCAGAACCCTCGCTAGCTTTGATACTGTCCCAGCTTCTCTGGCAAGCTTTGTACTCCTTCAGCTGATTGTACCTGGGCATGGGGCGATGCTTCTGCTCCCGTTTTGCTGCTGGTTTCCTTCACCCTCTCTCACAGCTGTGTTCACTGCAGGGACACAGGGCACTTTTAAGAGAAATGCAAGTGAAACTGCTCGGGTTGGTTAAGGGAGAAACCGAGACTCTTGGGCTTCTTGAGCGTGTTATTTGAGAGATGGTTTATACTAAAAATGAAATGGATATATTATGTATTGTATTAAATTAGAAAGTTGTGATTTGAAAGGTAAAACAAGGCAGTAAAGACATCGGTCTAGAATTTAAACTGTAGCTTTTGTCACAAATAATGCATCAACTTTCACTATCTGTATTTTATCATTCATTTTATGTTGAGGACACCTACCAGAAAGTGGAGAGTTTGACAATAGTGTATTAGATACGCTTTTTGTGACTACTTTAAAGATTTGCACATTTCTTATGTTGTACTTTATACTTTGTTTACAATAAACCCGATTTTCTTTAACACAAACCTCTTCTGTTTTTAAATCATAGCAGAACTTACCTCTTTGCAAGGAGAACTGGGCAGCGTGTGGGCAGCATGGTTCTCTACCTGCTGCTGCCTCTGCCTGCCTGTGGGCAAGGGGAGCTGGGCACTGGGTGCTGTTCCTGCTGCTCAGCTCCTGCCTGCAGGGATTCCAAGTTTCGCAATTGCTGTCCGTTGACTCCTGCCCTTCCCACAGGGTGTTTGGAGGAGGGGCACTCCTTACCTTGCCCTGCCTGACGAAGCAACCTGTGGAGGGAAAACCTGAGTCACTGCTTTTTCTCCTTGTCCCAGGGAGTACGCCACTGCAGCCCGGTGTGAGAGAGACATTCCCCAGGAGTGTGAGTCCTGCTCTACCATTCAGGGGATTTTACATTTCTTGGGCACAAGAAAGTAGTGAACAGTTCTGAGTCTGAAGCTCTTCCGCATCTGCAACTAGCCATTGGCTAGGGAGCTGGTTCCCTTCAACAGACTGCCTGGCACACTGAGCTTTGAATCCAGGCTCTCCTCTGCAGTGCATTCAGGGGTTTCAAACCACTCCACCTCAGCAGGGAGCTGATCTTCAACCTACCCAGGCGCATGCCCTCATGCTGCTGTGCAATAAAAGAGGAATGAAAGGGCATTTCCATGCCGTGGCTGTCCCCGCTGCCCATGTTTCCCAAAGGAACAGTAGCTGCCAGTGCTGGTGGTGTGGAACTCACATGCTTGGATCCTGCCCTGCCAGCACCCACCAGGGCACCAGGGGCGGGAGGCTGCAGGGGAAACCCTGCTTCTGGCCTTGCCGCGAGCCAGGTAAAATAGAGGTGCTCACTCCAAGTCCAGGTTTAGCAGTGAGAACTGCACTTCCCACTGGTTCCAGCCCAAGGTGGAGCCATAACCATGATTTTTGCCTCACATGCCTGTTTTTTAAGCTTAACCATGGGAGCCAACTGGGAATGAAACCAGCTACTGGGGTGGTTAACCCAAGTCTGCTTTGCAAAATGTAGTTGAAAGGGCATTATTAGACACCTCTTCAATGCTGATTTTATCATGCAGTCACATTTGGTTGTATAGCAGGAAGCTTAATGGTTATGAATTTTCCAGTTTTCTGTCAGTAATTAGGAGTTCCTTATTCCCGTATGCAAACCACACACCCCCCTCCTATTCTGTCCTCCTGCTTGGGTTTAGTCATGAAGCAGAAATGCAAACCAAAACACTCTCAGCAAACCCCCATGATCAGTACTTGGATGCCAACACCGGTGGTGCTGGCTGCGGTCAGGCTGTTGTTGCTGTGCAGACATCTGGCCCCAGGAAGCTGACCCAAGGGGATCCAGAAGATCAGCATATATTCTTGGAAGCAGATTTCAGAAGTATCTATAAACCCTTCATCTTGCTGCTTAGCCCTGATCTCCAAAGCCATGTGTGCACATAAAAATTGATGCTGCAGGAGTGACATCCATTGCATTCCAGTCTCACAAGTTGTCCTGGGAAAGGCAGGATGTGTGCAAAACAAAGCGATATATATGCCGCACGCTTGGTGTGCTTACCTTGCTGATAGACGCTGGGGGAGACAGGGTCCCTTTGAGGGGACAGAGGGTGCCTGCCCGCCCCAGGGGCTTGGAGTCTGCATATCCCACTCCCTGCCCAAACCAGGATGGGGACCTCTTATACTGGGGCACCCTGCATGTGCCTTGAGCATGCCTTTGCCCGTGCTTGGAGATTTGGATCTCTCCAGAGAGAAGGCTGGAAAAAGCAAGCATTTTCCCTTGTGGTTTGGAGAAGAATAATTTCCATTACAGCAGGAGTATTTGTGGGAGGCTTGGATGCTCTGTGAGTGAACTAACATGTATTTTAAAGGAAGAAGGGTCCTGCGTTGGGGCAACTTGTCCAGAGCCACGGATGCAGCTCAGACATGAATCAGGGCAGCACGTCCACCCATCCCACCTGGAGAGCCTGGCTTTCTGAGGTTTTTCCTCCCGAGCTTTACCACCCAGAAGTGCTATTTCAAGGCACCTTTAACCAGCCCATCCTGTGATCCTGACAGGGGGTCTGTACAGCCTTGGTGTTGGAGTGGGAGCCACAACACCCACCAGTGCTAGGGTGGTGAGACATGGGAACAGAGTGCCCAGAGAAGCTGTGGCTGCCCCATCCCTGGCAGTGTTCAAGGCCAGGGTGGAAACAGGGGTTTGGAGGATCTTGGTCTAGTAGTAGGTGTCCCTGCCCATGGCAGGGGGGTGGAACTGGATGATCTTTAAGGTCTCTTCCAACTCAAACCATTCTTTTATTCTATGAACACAAATGTGGCACACACCCAAAGGGCCAGGAGGAAGGGCTTTATCGTCGGTTGGCCCCAGGTTCGCACACAGTGTGCAGAGGCATCAGGTATTCCCCTGGCAACTCCCCACTTTTACTGTAAATAGATGATTCATTTGTCTGCTTTGGCAACAAACTTGGATCACCAAGGAAACACTCGCAAGTTGCCGGAAAAGTTAGAGCACAAAATCAGGTCAAGAGGAGTGATGAATGAATGAGTACGTGCACTGCAGGCTCAGGCTCCCTGTTCTGTACCACAGATTTTCTGCAAAACCTTTGCTGTTCCTGGAGCATGTGGTCAGGGGGATGATATTCTGCTAGAACAAATGCTTCTGGAATATGTCTTATGATGTAATTGAGCTCATCATCTGGAGATTCCATGCCTTTTGTAGGAAAATGGGGATCTTGAACACTTTCTGTTGTCACCAAAAGATAATATGATACTTCAGCAGTAAGAAAACAAGATAAAAACACATCTTTAGCCATCTCATTATGTTCACAAGCAGACAGGGGCTACACTTGTTAACACACTTCCTGTGCTGGGATGTGAATCAGGTAACAATCATATAAAATACATTAAATGATTCAGAAGCTTTGTTAGGAGAACATAGTTTTGATGAAACTTTATATTTGCTTGTCTGTTCTATTCTGAAAGTCAAGGTAGTTGTCTGGTGGACAGATGGCTGCTGTTACCACTACTTCAACTGCTCGGAAGGTTTCAGTAGGTGTCAAGGTACCCACATAGGCAACGACTGCCCTAGCAACCAGATGCAGCTGTGGTGGGGCTGCCTATGCACTCACTGCTGTGGTGTGGCATGAGCACATCCTGCTCAGCTAAACAGTCCCCAGGGATCCAGCAAGACCCAAGTGGCTTTGAATAGTTGAGCCATACAGCATCCTCTGTCTCCTGGCTGTCTCCATCACACACAGGAGGAACTGACATTTGTCAAGTCTATTTTATTTTTAAACTTTCACAAACTTCTTGTTTCATTAATGGCATCTGGGCCGAATTCCACACAGTTGTCATCGTGTAAATGTGAGGGCTGGGATCTTCACGGCGATAGCTGGGGGACTGGCATGGGGCACTTACTGTGAGCAGCAACCTCAGGCAGTTTAAACGCTTCTGCTTGGGAAACAGCTTTCAGTGTGTAATTGCCTAGCAGGTGGCTGGAAAGTACAACTCCCACCTCCCCAGAATGAAAAGAGAAAGAGAGTATCACATGCAACCTGAGTGGATTAGAATCATAGAATCATAGAATAGCTTGGGTTGGGAAGGACCTTCAGATCATCTAGTTCCAACCCCCCTGCCATGAGCAGGGACACCACACACTAAACTGTGTCACCCAAGGCTCTGTCCAACCTGGCCTTGAACACCTCCAGGGTTGGAGCATTCACAACTTCCTTGGGCAACCCATTCCAGTGCCTCACCACCCTCACTGTGAAGAACTTCTTCCTTATATCTAATCTAAACTTCCCCTGTTTAAGTTT